TGCAAAACAGAAAAATGAATTAACCTTTATTTAAACATTAAAGAATACTTTAGGTTAAGGTCTTCTTTCAAATAGAAAAAAGCTTTGGGGGTATCTATCTACAGATAAATATTAAGCCTGACAAAGTACTTGTCGCTAATTTTGGAGAAACCAGCTCGAGTGCGCTAGAATTTGAAAATACACAGCCGTAAAAAATCTGCCACTTCCTTCAGACTTCCTTACAGAGCCCCTCCTCCAACACACACGAACGCGCACATGACCAATGAGGGCACGAGATAAGTTTGTGCACAGGTGGAAGGCTGACAGGCAGGTAGGCCATCAAGTTACTTTAGCCGGGCCGGCTCAGATGATTGGTCGTGCTTTTTACAGTACTACGGCTTCCACAGATGACATTTTTTTATGGATTTTTTGTCAAAGCACTTGACAAAAAGCAACTAGTTTTCTGTGTACCTTGTCCTTGCCAACACCAATGTTATCCACAGCATACACAGCGATCACGCAGTTCTTAACGAGGAAACTAGTTGCTAAAACAAAACATGGGATTGTACCTTGTTATCTAATGTTATCTAGCTGACATTAACGTTACACATTACACTTGTTTAACACTCACCGTAACCTTGTACAGCCGGTCCCGCATGCCGGCTCTTATGGAACCGACTAACTCCCCTTTTGTGTAATAGCAGCTCTCAACATGCCCAGACATGTAATGATTTCCACCTCGTTTAATACTTTTCACCTCATTCTGGTGTTGGTGACGTGTGTTGTGCGAGACCAGAGATGTAGTTCATTGAGCGGTTTCACACAAAAATAAGTGTTACTTCACAGTTTTACGACAAACCTTTTTTTTCTTGACTTAGAAAATTATCTTTTAAATTGACAAACATCATATGTGTAATTCATGGCACAATTCAAATGGGGTCGAAAGATCTTTTCTCTCTCGCCATTGACTTCAATACATAATGTTTCCGAAATAAGGTCCCATGGAGGATCACCGGAAAGGGAGGGACTTTGGCTCTCTATAACTGGGACAAGGTTCCATAATAACCTTTCAGCAATGTGTAATTCAAGAGTGTCCCTGGGCAGGCAGTTCTCTGGAAAAAGAAAACAAAATCAAATATTGGAAAATACAGCCTGTAGCTCTCCACCCTTCTGCGTTTAGCCCCTCCCACCAGAAGAACACTGCTTCTGCTTTTATAGTTAGTTCTTTTTGTACTTTATTTCAAAATATTTGGACGTTAAACAGCCAAAGTACATCAATGTCACATCAGAAATCAAATTCTGATGATTTAAAGAAAATATAGATACAGTCCTATAGTGACATTAAAGAGGCCCTATTATGTTATCGGGGTGTTCCCTCTCCTGCAGTGTGTTCAATAGGTCTTTGTGCATGTAAATGGTCTGCAGAGGCTAAAATCCCTGTGTTCCCTCCAGAGGGAGTTTCTCTCCAAACTCTCCTTTTATTGACTCTGAAGATTAAGTACATTTAAATATATTGGTGACCAGTTTAGTGCTGTCCTCTCATGGATTCTCAAGTTATGTATTTGTATTCAATAATATTGAATTTCTCTTACTGAAGCCACTTATGATGACTTTAGGCAGTTCCCAACTTATTTTTGTTTTACTTGCTATGTTACGCTCAGTTATTATCCTTATTTTGCCTGTGATTAAAGCGAAAAAAAAACAGGTGTAATGCTTTGAAGTCTTTGCAATATGATTCTCCCTGACTCACTGTACCTGTGCTGATGGTTTCTGATGAAGCTCAGGCTCAGTTCTTTGTGTGATCGTAAAACACTCCAGCAACCTGCAGCCACAGATCTCCAAGAACTGAGTTCAGACACTCACACAGAATTGTGCATGAGAATATCTGCTGATGAGGAACTTTTATAGGCTGGATGAAATATTATGCCTTTGGTATTCATGTTATGTTTGTATAGGTGTGTTTCCCTATATCCATGCTTCAAATTAAGGTAAATTGAAATATAAGCAGAACAATTTGGATTAGAAAGAGGTAACACTAGATAAATTACTGCAACAATTACTGCAGAAACGTAATTTGTACAGCAGGTTAAGCATGATAGGGATCCAGTCTGCACAATGTGTTTGGATCGTGGGCCTTTATCTCCTCCGTGACCTTCGCTGATGAGGCAACATAATGTGCAACAGCCGTACAAATACATATTTCACGATTGTATAGTTATTCTTCCACTATGTCGCTACATCCAACATTTCCTCAGCACATTCCCGATCAACGTTGCTCCCTGGCTTTTGGCAGCGAGTCAGTTGCATTTATAGCCTTTGCAGACCATTTACATGCACACTAACCTACTGTATATCACATACTACAGGAAAGGAAAAAGAAACCAAAAAGCAGAATAGGGCCTACGATACGATGCGATAATACTTCATTTTTAGATCAAGTCTGACATTTTTCCATCATCACAGCATCTCCATTTGCAGCATTAAAAAGGACAAATATTTAAGACAAGAAAGAAGGAAACAGACATTTAGCATTGCATCAAGATCACTGAAGAGAAAAAAGCTCAAGACCCTCTATCGTACATTAGATCATGGATTTAAATCAGTATTTATTTTGAGGATTGACTGGTGCACAAAAGAATGCTTCAGTGCAACGTCATCAAATCGTGGGACCCTGTATCTCCGATTTGATGGGAAAAACTAATCCTTACTGTTCAGTTCATGGTTGGGGTCAGAGATGATGTTGTTTGTTTAAAAATACCTGTACATGTGGACTAGCCCTCAGTATGCACAGGAATACGAGTCATTGCAGGACAGCAGACACCCCTCCACAGACATTCTGAGTTCTGGAGAGCCGTCACTCACAGACAGAAGAAGCCGTTTGATTGCACGTCAGCAGCCAACACTCTCTGTTAGCCCGTTGGGAAATCAGCCCCACTATTCAGGTCTCTGGCCACTCAATGCCATTGATGGATCCATTAGGTGAGAGGGAGATGAGGTAACCACACACACCGGAGAGCAATAGATTAAACCTCCATTGGACATACTGGATGGTTACACACAGCATCTCAGTTCTGTGCTGACAATAACAGACACAAACCAAATGGGTCCATCAATCACTCTTACTCTGGAATGAGCAGCCTAATAACCTTGTGTGCTATCTTATTCCAATGTAGGTAATAGCTGAAAAAGTTATAGTATTTATATAGTATTTACAATGGAAAGAAACACCTTTTCCCTGAAACTTCAGGAAAACCAATTTAAAGAAACCTGGAAATTGTTAAGGGACGACCATCGTTCGATCGTGCTTTTGTATAATCCATGCTGGGTTTTGTGTTTGTCTTTTAGCCGTAACACAAACAACCCATGTATACTGCTCTATTTGTTATTTTACTTATTATTATTCTTTTTTTGCTCATGTATTTACCTATTTATTGTACGTTGTTGTGTTTGTTACTTTTGGGTCACTAACAAATATTGAGCTATTAGCAGAGCAAAATGACCGCAAATTAAAAAAATTACAAATAAAAGCAAAAGTTAGAGTAGACAAGGAGTGAACCCATGCTCCCCAACAGAGAAATGAGCCTGTACAACCATCCAGGGTCTGCTGAGCCCCTTGTTCAGGGTCGCCTGCTGCCTGGCTTACAATGCACCCAGCCCCAGTGCCTCTCCCTGTGGTGTGCCCGCAGCGCAGCAGTTATTTCTGGCTGAGCTTGGCACCAGCCACACATGCTCCACTTCCAGTTCTGGCTCTGGTGAGGAGCAACTGTTTCCCTGTTGGAGGAGAGGAGTGGCAGCTCCTTCTTGGCCAATTCATACTGTCAATCATTCTTAGTCTGGCTCCTTCTTGGGGGCCAATCTTCTTTATTTCCTTATAAGGATCCCATTTAGCACTAACATTGGCTATTCTTCCTGGGGTTCGCACACAAACAGTCCTACACAAATTAAAAAAAACAGCTCTTCATCTCATGCAATCAAGTATTAAATAAATAAAAAATTAAGGCAAACATTATTATTGTTATTATTATTATTATTATTATTATTATTATTATTATTATAATACAATAAGTTGAACATAGGCCTAGTCACAGGCACAGTTCAATTATGATCTCTGACACCAAGATATTAAGCAAAAGTTTGAGTTATGAGTTCCAACGTGGAACAACGTGCACCGGCTATTAATTCTCCCTCACCTGTTTCTGAATCATATTATATTTAGCTTTATGTAATGTGGACCCTTTTTCTATTGCGTGGTGTTTGCTTTGGGAGACCCGACCATTAGCTATTTCCCAACCTACACCACAAAAAGGTCAGGATATTAGGAAGGGGAATTGCAGGAAAAGGACCATTTCACTTGTAGTAACAAATGTCCAAATAATTCAGGTGGTAAGTGCAACACTCTGTCTGACCACATCTGAAGTCGCAAATGACCTCACTCAAAGGTTGGGTAGAAAGCTTGCCATCATATCATTCCTCCTGACTGCATCACACAGCCTCCCTCCTTTTTTAATTCAGTGCATTATTACTCTTTGAAATGTATTGGATGGATGTATACAGTTGAATTAAATGGAAATACTTAACTCTACTAAGTAGTCTACTTAATCTAATTACTTGGATATTTTCCACCACCATGTGTGTCGTTATAAGTGACATGTTGGTGTGTTTTCTGTGTCCTGCAGTGTGTCCTGATAAAGAGCCAGGACTGCAGCCATGGATGCCGGGACACAGCGAGGACCACCGTGTTACCATCGGTTACGGCAGGAAGGTCCTCCTCACAACTTCAGCTACGGTCCACTCCATTGAGATTCTCAGTGGCGGTAAGCCAGAAGAGTCAATATGGTGTCAATCTTTCACAGTGAAATGCTGTCTTTATCTTATGTAATGTGACATATTAAGTGAAGCAGAGTATGTCTGGTGGGTATAGTGATTTACCCACGAAGGACAGGAACAATTCAACACTGTAACAAATATACACATTTAATCCAAAACCCTACAAGTCCTTTAAAAAAAAAAAGCAGCTATTCCTTTTTTAACAGGATGGTCAAGTTAAGTCAAAATAATAAAACACTGCATAAGTAAGAAGTCTATTAAGTATGAAGGATTGCTAAAATTAAAAAAAACAGACACAATACAGAGACATCATTAATTAAAAGTACTCTCTCTGAAACAATAGACCGCATAAAATAATCTTTTTCATTTATGTTTCTCTCAGTTGCTCTGCGCTGTTGTTGTTGTTATATATTGGATATAGAATGAAATATATAATTAAAATAAGTCACGTAACTACATCAGTTTATTAAATGATAGAACAAGGGTCCCTTAAGATGATGAGTTAGGCTTTCTGGCCACCTTACAATAAACTTTGGTTTTTGCTTTTCTATTTGTGTGTAAATCAATAGTTTGGTATTGTTTGAAATTGATGGGTAACTAAGACTTAATGTTAAAGCCGATTTACAGCTTTACTGTATCTTTTCAATACAGCATTTATTATGGGCATCAGTGTTGCTCAGATTATTTTACAGCTCTCACAGAGCAGAGCGCTTTCTGCTACATTAACTGTGGAAGCACTCGCTCAACATGATCTATGTCTTCATTCTCACTCACTCTGACTTTAATTTTACATTTACTCAAAATAATTCAATAAATACATTAAATCTTTTTGAAACCTGGTAACACAGGTGGTTGGCCAGCTACAGCAAGTGTGTGTGTGTGTGTATGTGTGTGTGTGTGTGTGTGTGTGTGTGTGTGTGTGTGTGTGTTTGTGTGTGTTGGTTTGTGTGTGTGTGTGTGTGTGTGTGTGTGTGTGTGTGTGTGTGTGTGTGTGTGTGTGTGTGTGTGTGTGTGTGTGTGTGTGTGTGTGTACGCAGCCTGAGCCCAGGGCTTTAAATGGTAGGAAGACAAGCCTGATGGCACTGAGTCATGAATGTTCTGCCAGCAGGTTTACTTTTCCTCCACCCCTTCCTCCCTCTCTCTCTCTCTCCTCTCAGGAAAGCTGGTGATTGCTGACACCAACCGGGCCATACTGCTGCGAACAAAACACATTCTGATTGGGAACAAAGGGGAGCTGCACATTGGAAGCCGAGACTGTCCTTATAAAGGCAACCTCACCATCTCCCTTTTTGGAAGGTACAGTTGTATTAAATGTAGCTTATAAACATAGAGAAGAAGAAGAAGAAGAAGAAGAAGAAGAAGAAATACTTTAATAATCCCTCGAGGGTAAATGTTCACTCTGTTGTTATGCATATGCACCTGAAACACAGAGCACACACGCACATGACCTACTCACATTTGGACTCAATATACAGTACATATGCACATACACATGCATTAATGGAGCGGATGCGAAACAGGGGGTCTGCCATGGTTTAGCAACCAAATGCGTTTGAGTTGGTGCGATACTCAAGGACACTTTGGCAGGGCCCAGGAAGTAATCTCTCATGATGCCAGTCCATCCCAATGACCATAAGGTGAACATCTGGTTCCCAAGCCAGGTCCCTCTGCACTGAGCTACTGTCGCCCTCCATCACATGTTAGTGGTACATTATTATTAAGCTGATGTCGATCAGACAGTAAATCTTAGGTGTAGTATTTTCTTATAGTGCAAATCCCATGAGACTCTTTGCACAACACTTAAAATGTTCTCCATATACATGACATAATGGCATTTCCATCAACATTAGCTGTATTTTCATGATTTAAATCACTATCATAACATATCATCATAAACTTTATAGCTTTAAAATATAACATGTGAGCATAGTCACTGTGAGCACATTAGCATGCTAACATTAGGCCTTAGCTCAAATCACCTCTGTGGCACTGCAGCTTTACAGTTGTGGGCTGTTAACATGACTTTAGACTATGAGTCTGCTTAAAGATATTCGTAGATCTTCAGGAAACACTTTGTTTCCACATTCCGAGGGGACAAATATGCTGTACGTAATTCCTCAAGGCTCCATCCTGGGGCCCCTTCTCTTTAACCTCTGCAGACTTTCACTGGCTCAGATTATAGAACACTGCTTTTAATTAGATCAAATAATTACTCTCTGCCATTTCAAACATTGCACTGTAACTTTTATTATTACATTTCATCCCTGTCTTATTCTATTTTAGCTTGTTTATATTTATTTTATTCTCTTGGTTTTTTAATGACTGTTTTTTAAATGTATTTAAATGTCAATGTTTTATAATGTGTTTCTGTTTCAATGCATTTTAATGCTCTTAATGTTTTCAATTTTTTTGTAAAGCACTTTTAATAGCCTTGTGTTGAAATGGGCTGTATAAATAAACTTGTCTTCCCTTACTTAACTAATAAAACCTCCTAAAATGGTAACATATTTTCACATATTCTCTCCTTTTGTTCTTAGATTGGATGACAGTGATAAGGATCACAGCTACTTTGGAAGGAAGTACATTGGCGTGGGGACAGGGGGGACACTAGAGATCCACGGAGAAAAGAAGCTGTCGTGGACGTTCCTCAACAAGACTCTGCACCCTGGAGAGAGCAACCAGAACAACTATCTGTTCCAGAGAGGCTGGGGCAGCAGAGGCATCATCATCCATGTCATTGACCCTAAAAGCGGAGAGGCGCTGCACAATGACAGGTAATGGCCCCACTGAAGCAAAGGCCATGATATTAGGAGGTGTGTGGCACAGTGGATAGAGCCTTGGTGTTCGGATCAGGGGTCCGAGGTTCAAACCCCGCTGCAGTCAGCATGTCGTTGTGTCCCTGAGACACTTCACCCCAAATTGTTCCTGTGGGGATTGCCCACAGTATTGAGTATGTTAGTCACTTTGGATAAAAGCGTCTCACATGTAATGTAATGTAATATTCTTAATTAGAGCCGAAAGGATTTTGTGGCTGACATTTCATAATCTGTCTAACCACAGGGTTGAAATGAAGGAGACAAATATTCCTTTAATGGCTTTGGCATTGTTTCATACAAGGATATTAAATGTAGAAATTGATGTCACCCTTAATATCCTTTTCACGCTTAATTAGCGATCACACAAATTACCTGCAATGGAGTTTAGATACATTTGAACTTTTATTGTAAATATAATGTTGTAATTTTCAGAGGAGGATGTAAGGCATTGGACAGTATCCAGTTTCCTCTAATTAACCGCCATTAGACTTTGTCTGATTACAGCCATAAAATGCACTTAATAGATGGTTATTAGAACACATTGCACGACTGAGTCAACTGCAGAGGGAGAGAGGAACACAATTCAATAGAAAAAAATGCTTTGAAGTGGTATATTGTTTTTATAATGGATTTTGGTTGTTCTACAAATATGTGATCTTTGTTTTCTGCTCTTGCGCTCATAGGAGGTTATTTAGCTTCCATAATTCATAAAGCTACGCTTGTGATGTCAAAGCAAAAGGCCCTGAATAACACTGTCTCTATCTGTTAGTTATTTAAAATAACATGCGGTCAATGCTCCTTCTATTGATATGGCACCTTCATTTTTAAACCCGATAATATTATTTGGAGCAGTTGTTTTTCATATTTGCATTATTGCAGTACCTGCAGTACCTTTTTGCATTTCACAGATTTAATGTTAGCACATTACGCTATGCTAGTAGTGTTCTGATTCTGCGAAGGAATGTGGAATAGTTGCCTCGTTTAGTCGTTTAATTTAAAGATTAGACTTAGTGTGGAAATAAATGAAATGTTCATTTTGACTTTTGAGGTTGGTGCAATACTTACAAGAGGTTAAAAGATGTACACATTAAAATGTGTTTATATTTTGTATTGCTTTTCCACCTCTATGCAAATGCATGCCTATACAGTTTTTAGATTTTTTTGTAATACTTTTTGTTTCTTGACTTCTTGAGTATGTCCACAGACTATGCTCACATTATACATCTTGTGTTTTTACATTGAGTATAAATAAAAGAATAATGAAAAAGAAAATAGATTAAAAAAAAATGTATACACTTTAAGTGCAATTCCTTTTCTAAAATCTTATTGGTAACTTTGGTTTTAAATATTTATTTATTTTTGTATATCTTATCTGAAACATGGTATAACAGAACATTGTTTTGTTTGCCCTTTAAAAATCTGAAGATGAGTGTGTGTTCAAGTCCTTTTTTACAGTTTACTGTCCTTAAACTATTTGACTTACAACACAAATTGAGCATATAATATGTCAGAGGTTGAGTTGTTAATAATAACTTACGTTGTTTGAAGACACAATCACAATTCTATTTGTTTCATGTGTTCCTCTTTTACCCCCCTCACTCCCACAGGTTTGACACGTATCGCAGTAAGGATGAGAGTCGGCGCCTTGCTAAGTATGTGGATGATGTGGGGGCGGGGCTTATTCTGGCGTTGATGGTCAATGACGAGGGCTCCAACAACTTGGAGGACTCGGCCAAGAAGATCCTCTTCAGGCTGGGCAGCCAGCACATCAACACTCTGGGATTTCGGTGAGCTTTTGGAGTATTGGGATGGAAATTGTTAAGGTTTTCTGAAACAAAGACAAAGGTAATGTTCACAGATAAAATATAGATTAATCACGATGACAAATGTTATCATTAATTACTGAACATGACTATGAGCTCAACATCTCTGCTTGTCATTCCTATTCAGCTCACAATATGTCAGGAAAGAAAATGGCCCTTTTTTAAAGCTCCCAGCACTATGTCATATGAAGCATTATTTTATTGATTGCTGAGAATTAATGAGAAAATGTTACAACCTCCGGTGAGTCACTTTTTTTCTTTTTCTAATTAATCCCTGAAGCTTTCGGTACTTCATGGTTTTAAATTCACTATCTCAAATCTTCATCTCCTGAATTCCATAAAACAGCTCTAAAATCAGTTTTATCTTCTGTGTACATTTAGTGTGATGATTATACAGGACGCGTGTGGCGCAGTGGGTTAGTGCGTTGGTGTTTGGTTAAGGGGAGCACAGGTTCAAACCCCACTGCAGTCAGCATGTCGTTCTGTCCCTGAGACACTTCACCCCAAATTGCTCCCGTGGGAATTGTCCACAGTACTGAGTAGGCTAGTTGCTTTGGATAAAAGCGTCTAACAAGTGACATGTAATGTAATACAGTAATTGAGGTCGCAGTTAAAGGTGGTGTCGCACTAGACTCTGTTATTTATATATATGATTTAATATTTCCTATTTGTATACATGAAGGGACCAGACAATTAGAAACACCTCTCAATATAATGTAGTCCAATACAACGCCATCACTCAAGTAATCTACTGTAAGGTATTTTAATATTAAAGATTCCCGATCGTGCTTTATGGGGTGTTCCCTCTCCTGTAGTGTGTTCTATAGGTTTTTGTGCATACATGGTCTGGGGGGAGTTTCTCTCCCACACTTTTTTAAAGTCTATCAAGTAGAAGTAATGTAATTGATGCCAGATAACAGTAGTGAAAGTAAAAGTGTATATTGCACAGTTATTACAGATGGTTGTACAGTAATATAGAGACAGTAACAGAACATAGTGACATAACTATGTCACAATGGTTTGTCTATTGGCTAGCGCCCCAACACATTGTACATGAAGGGGGCGGGACATCTCTAAGTGGTTGACCAATCACAACAGAACTGACCAGCTAACCAATCAGAGAAGACTGGGCTCTGGTTTCAGACAGAGGGTGAAAAGAGGTGCTGCAGCACAGGCAGTATGAGAACATTTTTATTTGTTTAATTAACACACAACCAAAAAATTTGTATTTTATCCGCCTGGGAAACTGTGTGTGTTTGTGTGCGTGTTAGTATGCTAGCAATGCAAAGGGAAATGGAAACTGAATAATGCCGCGATAACAAAGCCCTGGAGATGTCTGACATACAGTACGGGTTAAGGATACACATGTGCAGACTTGTACGCTGACACATTCCTCAAAAAAGACTTGACTGTGCCCTCGTGTTTTTTTGTAATAAAGTGGTTGGATATACATCTTTGAATAGTCAACCACAAGGTTGCGTGCATCAGTTTTCTTTGCACAGTGAACCACAAGGACAGCGCCTTTGTTGTGGGTGAAGCTGGTGAATCTTAGCAATGTGTTAGCCTCCCAGCATTATTATGAAACGTGATGCTGCCGAAGAGACCACAGGAAACTCTGACAGGGTTGAAGACATAAAGATTCCCTGTTTGAACTCTGTGGCTGTAGATGATGGCTGCGGAGGACAGAGTAGAGGGAGGGGGGGGGAATCCTAATGAATCCTGTCGCCTGCTCCCCACACTGCTGCCAAACAGGCCAGCACTGGTGTCATCATCAGAGAGAGGCTGTGTAATTTGCGGTGCACCCAGAGACATTTTAATAAGCTGGAATTTATGAGGCAGTGCAATACATTCTGAGTGATGTAATTCACATTTGTTTACTGAAGCTTCTGCACTGGTGGCAGCACACAGCATTACAGCAACACAAGAACATGAAGTTGAAAGTTGTGGGATGTTATTTTGGTACCAGCCAAACTTTTTTGGTGTCAGATAAGTTGGATGTTGGAATTCTGCTTTACTTATTTATAATATTGCAAATTCAATATAATAGAAACATAGAAAAATCCTGTTTTAATAGTGTAAACAGCACCCTACTGACTCACTGTACAAAAAGGCAGTAGCAAATTAACAATTCACAAGGTCTACTAAAAAAATAATATTATTCATCTCTCCTCTCTTCCTTCATTTACAGGCATCCTTGGACCTTTATAGTTACAAAAGGAGACCCTTCTTCTGTTGTCGAGGATCACGCTTCCTATCAAGGTAAGAATACATTTTTAATGTATTACTACTTACCTGATGTATCTAAAACTGCAAAAAAGGAAGCATGTTCTACTGTAAGTGATGTCCTGTGATGTGTGTGTGTGTGTGTGTGTGTGTGTGTGTGTGTGTGTGTGTGTGTGTGTGTGTGTGTGTGTGTGTGTGTGTGTGTGTGTTATCAGGAACTAAGGCCTCCTCAGAGGCTCAGAGCGCTCATGTTTTTAAGTCGAGTTATGGGGAGCAGTTTACTATTACCACCAGAAGCCAGTGGGTGCAAGGTAAGTGTACACACACACGCACGCACGCACGCACGCACGTACGCACGCACGCACGCAAACACACACACACACACACACACACACACACACACACACACACACACACACACACACACACACACACACACACACACACACACTCCAGGTGTCCTCCAATCAGTGAAATGTGTGAGTTTGTCTCTCAGGGCCACAGTCAGTATGTCACATGCACCACAAAACAGAAACATGTGCTGATATCAAACACCCAGGAGTGATACTGTTCATTGTCTTTTGCAGGGTTGGGATGGTTACCTGTGAAAATTGTAATCAATTACCTAATCTGAGTATCAAAATATGAAAGTAATGTAACTTGATTACTTTCCGTTACATTTGGATTACCTCAATATCAAATGCGATGCAAATCAATAAAAGTGTATTATCAATTAATCATTCAATGTTTATTTATATAGCCCAATATCACAAATATTACATTAGTCTCAGTGGACTTCAGTTTGTACGGAATATCAGTATGACAATACGACACCCTCTGTCCTTAGACCCTCACATCGTACAAGGAAAAACTACTGGAGAAAACCCACAGTTTAAAGGGGAAAATGGGAGAAACCTCAGGGAGAGCAACAGAGGAGGAATCCCTCTCCCAGGACGGACAGACGTGCAATAGATGCCGTGTGTAAATTGAAGAGATAATACATTTTACAGCGTAGGTAGACGAAATGTTTGGAAGTGCATGTGTCTATAATAAGAAGATGAATCCACGAGGATATCCATCCAGGACTTATGATCCAGGGCCACAGCAACAGGCACAGCCACGACTCAAGATCCAGGGCTCGCAATCCAGGACTCAGGACCACAGCAACAGGATCATCCATGACTCCGGATCCCGGCGTATATAGACACCAAAAAGAAATTTGGGGAAGCTGGATAATTGGGAACATGAGAGTACACAGGTATAGACAGAGAGAAGGAAGAAGTAAGATGTCCCCCGACAAACTAAGCCTATATCAGCAAAACTAGGGGCTGAATCTGATCAGCCCTAACTATAAGCTTTATCAAAAAGGAAGGTCTTAAGCGCACTCTTAAAAACGGATAGGGTTTCTGCCGCCCGAACACAAACTGGAAGCTGATTCCACAAATGTGGAGCTTGATAAGAAAAGGCTCTGGCTCCCATTNCTGATACTTGCGCATTAGTTTCTGTTATGGATCAGTATCAACAGTCCTGCCAGTAACGTTACTATATTATCAATACTACTTTAGTTATAGCCTGATATATGATAGCTAACTTTACAATGTTGTGATGTGACGTTAGCTAACATTCTGTAGCTAACGCCGGTCAGTCACCAAGATAGCTGCCCAGTTCTCCACTGGTTCTCCAACCACAGCTCCATTTCTCTCCGATGGCCGTTATTTCTTCGAATCCTTGGCTGCTCCTGGTCTCTTGGACACATAGCAGGCTCATAATTATAATCATATGCATTCGAATATATATTTACAACCTCTTCTGTGTCAAAACTAGCATTGTGATCCATGTTTATTCGTACGACCGGCTGCTCTCCCCCATGTTCCGTCACACGCGGGAGGTCACGTGCGGAGGCTTTTTTTATGCGGAAGTAAAAATGTCTTACAAAAACGACGCCAGATGTTACTGTAGTGTATATTTCTGTATATTTTTTAGAAAATCTAGTGTATACATCATTTTCCTACACATTTATTTACTGGTCTCTCTAACCTGCAAGTAGCTCTTTAACAATATGTTGTGTAGTGCCATGCTGTATTTTGTAACATATCCATGTATGTAACACATGGATGACATTTTGCTGGGTTGCAATGAGGCCACAGTTTTCCTGTAAATTCACTAGTGGGAAAATGTTGTGCAAATTGGATTGGATATAGGACACTCATCCCCAAATTATACAATTTTATGACAACAGGCCAGGTGTTGATAGATAACGTTGGTCTTGCTAGCTAATTTGACATATACAGTAGCAATCATGCCATGCTGTGCTCTGCACAAATGTTGGCTCCAGAACAAATTGAGCCGAGGAAAAACACAGTGTGTTCAGCACGGCTCTGTGCAAAAGACAAGAGCAAGCAGGCCATTAGCCAGCACCATACAAACCATTTCCACTGTGACTCACAGGCCAACAAAAACAAGCAAAAACCATCCAGACGTACCAGAAACACCACACACCAGTATTTTTGGATTAATTTAACAAAATGTATCTTTAATTTTATATTCAAGGAACTGACCATTTTTTTTGTCTTAATATTAACAATTGTATCGTTATTGTATTGTAATATTGTAAAAGTAGTTTGAAATAATGACCAAATATGAGTGAGGGCCAACTGTGCGGAAATGGCTGGGCTTTGTGTTGCAATGTTGCAGAACTTTTGCGTGCAGGATTGAAAGTGATTCTTGTGTCCAGACATATGGATCGTGATCCCTAACCCTCAGTGCTCGTCTTTGTGAAACTCCTGCTGTTGCCCAACAAATAAGCCTTACACTAGACAAATACCAGATGTCTGAAAAAAGATTTGTCCTGAAGCCAAGTGGCCAGACATCTCTCTGTCCCACCCTAGAGCTATCGACAAGTTTATTTCCCAACATTCTGAACTGTTCCTGTAATCTTAAGGAACACCTTCACTTACAATACCACTGGTGTGTCACATCATCTATTATTTCGTGCCAGAAGTACCTATATTAATCTTTGGTTCATCTATACTTTGTCCAGGCTGAGACCCACGATGGCATAGCGGCCAACCAAACGGGAGATGTGATCCACAAGAATGATAAGGACTACGGCTTCGTCTGCCTCAACAAGGACCAGACTCATGACCTCTGTCGCAACTACAGAGTCCGCTTCCTCTGTGGAAAACTGGGTACATTCATGACTTACTATGTGTGTGTATGAGTACAGTTTGTGTCTGCATGAGCTTTTACACACATTTCCCGTCTTTTCTCCATAAATCTGGACCCAGCTCTCCTCCTTCGTCTCTTTGGTTTACCCAGCATCCTCTGTGTTTTTCTCCAGATTTCAGTGGGAATATTTGTTGTAGACTGCCATGCTAGCAGGCTTTAGCATGATTAGCTGTCCCTGGTGTAAACATGGCAGCCAGTGGCGTGAATGCACAACAACGGCATGAAAGTTGAATAAGCTAATAATATAACTTATTAATAGAAAAATAACAAGTAACCTAAAAGGAGAAAGTTCAAAGTTTAAAATAGTACAAATCTAGCAAGAACAACTGCAACAAGCTGCCTTCATGGTTGGCAGGTGCACACTTTTTTTTAAAGAGAGCTTAAGCTGATCAACGTTTTATTAATATACAGACATGAGCCCTCCAGAGAGTGTGTGGAGGCTGCTCTGGTTGCCACACAGCCTGATCAGAGTTCACAGGCACCGCTCCAAACCAACTGAGAGACCTGGCATCTGTATGGGCCAGATGCTTGTGTGTGTGTGTGTGTGTGTGTGTGTGTGTGTGTGTGTGTGTGTGTGTGTGTGTGTGTGTGTGTGTGTGTGTGTGTGTGTGTGTGTGTGGGGGTCTGGGGGTGTTATGTGGATGTTATGTGGAGAGTGTTGTGATCGTTCATGTCAATGAGTACAACACATTCATCGCTCCACAATAACCCTGCACCACTACAGATGGACCAGATGACAGCTCCCCAAAAGAGAAGCCACAAATATCTCTGGCGCCCCCTGGATCAGGCCGGAGAATTGAATGAGTCACCTACTACTTCTAGGGAAAACGTTGTTTGATTTTATACAGTTGTTTCTCGAAAGCCTATCAAGATATCTTTGGCGATCTTGTTTTTTCCATCTATATAGTCCAACCCAGTCTCACGGTATTTCGTGTTATAGTCACAACATTTAATCTATTGATTCGTGTTCACCAACACAATTTCCCCCTTTTTTTCGTGTCACACAGAACGATTTTAAAAGCAATGTATTTCTATTGGTAGCATGTTTTTTGCCTGCACCATGTCTTTTTGTCCGGTCGGGTCTTGGAAGACTCGACCGAACTGTGGTTCATAAAAACATGTTCTTACTCAATAGCAAGCCACGACTATTGTTTTTATTTTAAATCGTATAATGTCTGACTTTTTTTGCCGTCCATCCATCCATCCATCTTCTCCCGCTTATCCGTGGTCGGGTCGCGGAGGTAGCAGTTCCAGCAGAGAGCCCCAAACTTTCTTTTCCCTGGCCACATCAACCAGCTCTGACTGGGGGATCCCAAGGCGCTCCCAGGCCAGCGAAGAGATATAATCCCTCCATCTGGTTCTAGGTCTACCCCTTGGTCTCTTCCCAGCTGGACGTGCCTGGAACACCTCCCTAGGGAGGCGCCCAGGTGGCATCCTAACTAGGTGCCCGAACCACCTCAACTGGCTCCTTTCGACGCGAAGGAGGAGCGGCTCAACTCCGAGTCCCTCCCTGATGACCGAACTTCTCACCTTATCCCTAAGGGAGACACCAGCCACCCTGCGGAGAAAACCCATCTCGGCCGCTTGTACCCGCGATCTCGTTCTTTCGGTCATGACCCATCCTTCATGACCATAGGTGAGGGTAGGAACGAAAATGGCGCGGTAGACAGAGAGCTTTGCCTTCTGGCTCAGCTCCCTTTTCGTCACAACGGTGCGGTAAAGAGACTGCAGTACCGCTCCCGCTGCTCCGATTCTCCGACCCATCTCACGCTCCATTGTTCCCTCACTCGAGAACAAGACC